ATTGGTATAGGGTGATATACATGGATCTAGTTTCAGTTTTTTGCAGACTGCTAACCAGTTTTCCCAGCAGTTTTTGTTGAAGAGGCTGCTATTTCCTCATCGTATATTTTTAGCGCCTTTGTCAAAGACGGTTAGTAGTCTCTTAATTAGGGTCCCTACCTTCTGTCTTTCTTCTTCCTTCTACATATTCTTTAATCTTTCTTACATGTTGCTGTTGTTCAAGAGCTAGCAGTAAATTTTTTTCAGTGGGTTTTGGACCCAGGACCTCATTTATGCTAACTTCTATCATGAGCTACACCCCTAGCCAGCAGTTCTTTACCATTGCCACTGAAATAAGCTTTATTTAGTTAAGTACATTCCTTTTTGCCTATGCAGTAAACTTTATTCATTAATTACTAATTCCTCAACCTGGCATTCAAGAACAATTGAGCTTTCTAAATTTCATTTCCTAGTATTCGTCATAAGTGTGTCATTTCCTTAAGGCATAGAGTAAACTTAAAGGTGAATGTTAATCTATAAGCAAAATTCCCTAGCAGTACCATTAGATGATTAATAGAAAGTGATTATCTCTTCTTTACAAAATTTTGTACCTAATAATGGCAAAATTCCATCTACCATTTGTCTTAAGATTTCAATAACATTACCTTATAGCATATTAAGTTTTAGCATATTAAGTATAATTTTAGTCTATTAAGATACTGTTTTTTCTCATACGTCAAAGACAGAACCAAAGATAAACATACATACAAAAAGAAGCATGATCATATACAAACTCAGATGTAGAAATATTTGTAACAGTGGAACTATTCTATGGAACTCAAGGAAAGAGGGAAAGGAAAAGAAAATGATAGAACATCAGTAATATTACATACAAGATGTGAAGGTAGAGAATATAAAGATGTATATAGAAAGCTGTTGAAAATGGGGGGTAGAGGTAGAGGGGTAAGGGAGAGTAATGAAAGGAGTTGAACAAATTAAAGTATGCCCACAGTGGGCATACATTGAAACACCTCTTTGAACATCAACTTAAATATTAATAACCAAAATGAGGACTATAAAATAAGTACATTGTTGGGGGGACTACTGGGAGGGAGAGGGTGAAAGAAGGAGATGTGATGGTATATGGTAGATGGACTTCATATACCTATAGGAAACAGAACTAAGAAACCTCTTGCAATTGCTTTAAGTGGAATGGGAAGGGGCTTGAGAGGAGAGACAATGGGGCAATATAAACAATGTACAATATAAGTATGATCAGAATGGTCACTATGAATCCCCCCCCATATAATGAATATATCCTAATAAAAAAAGTACTGTTTTTTAATATTCATATTTAAGAAAATCTTAGTTTATAACAAAAATTTCAAAGTGGGATATTCTTTTTAGTATTTAAAGTTTTAGAATATTAAAATAAAATACCTAATTGAAAAAAAGTCATTTATGTATTTATTTATTTATTTTGGAAATACTGGAAATTAAGTCCAAGGTCTTAAGCATGCCCTGGATTTCAGAACACTTAACAGTATTCTCCCATTGTTACCCAGATTTTTTTTAGCCCTGCTAAATTGGCTAGGTTGGCTTCTAATTGCAATCCTCCTGCCTCCCTAGTAGCTGGGATTATAGTTGTATGCCACCACAACTTAATTCTTAATCAAGATCTTAACCTTTTAGACTGTAGTATAAAATTTATGTTCAGTTTTTTGTTCCTTTTCTAGAGACCAATTTTTTAAATGAAGTAAATTGAGGAAAAGTACATTTATCTTCGTGCTGAACCTTTTCTTTTTAACTCCATTTCTTTTTATCATTAAGATGATAGAAATATGGTGCAAAGATTATGTTGGTCCTAATGTTAGTACTTTTCAATTTCTATATATAACCCCAACGTTATTTTTTGTGCTGTCTAGAAATGGGTGAACAGAGAGATATCAAATTTTGACTATCTCATTCAAATAAATACAATGGCAGGAAGAACCTATAATGACCTTGCACAATATCCTGTGGTAAGTTTTATATAAACCTCCAAACTGAAATTGCCTTACAGTTTTATAGTATACAAAACTATATATGTGCATATATATATATATACTTATAGATATATATATTTGCATGCACACATTTATAAAAAATGTGTATGTACAGTAAGTTCACCTTAGTCGTGGATTTATTGCATGTGGTTTTGACCAAGTACAGTCAAAACATCATGAAATTTTTTGAAAAGTTAAAAGAAATTTCAAGAACAAAATTTTTTAATTCTCATGTACACATTGCACAGCTCAGGTGATTTAGAGAAGCTCTTAGTCAGTTCCATGTTATTGTCAATTGTATTTAAATCATTGTGGGATTGACTCTTTCCTGCCCTTAATTTCCTGAAACTATGCCTCCCAAAAATCAAGGTAAAAGTTAATGTATTTAATTTAAGTGATAAAGTGAATTTTAGATTTGTTGAAAGACAGCATATCTTTAGTGGAAGTTGGGCCGTGTCATGGGAAAAACGAATCAAGCACCTGCAGTTTGGAACTGAATTCTACATCCTTGAGCATTCATTGGCAGTTTCTCCTCAACGGTGATCTTGGTGGCACTATATGCTCACAGATACCAAGAGCCTATGGTACATACACACACTTTGCCTTTTGGTATATTTTCTACCCTGGTATTTTCAAGAAGTATATAAATAAGAACAATTTAAAAGTACAAGCATCTTTTCACTTCATTGAAAATATCCTAGTGGAATTATAGGAAATGATACTGTTGAACTAAAAATGAATGGTTAAGATATTTAAAGTATTTGCAGTAGAGAAAATATTTTTAGAGACTATCCCCTTCTGACTTTATGTAAGTATTCTACATTAGGTATAGAGATTAGCTTGTCTAAGAAGGAATGACTACATTATAAATTGTGACTTTTTTAGTTTCCCTGGATTTTACAAGATTATACTTCAGAAGAGTTGGACCTTAATAACCCTGCTGTATTTCGAGATCTTTCTAAACCTATTGGGGTAGTTAATGATAAAAATGCCAAAGCTATGAGAGAAAAGTAAGTGGTTTTTAACCCTTTTGAGAGATATCCACTGTTTGTTTGAATTGTGTTGATTTCTACCAAACCAACCAAATGTTATCTTTTTTAATACCAAATACTTTTTACAGTCTGATCATTGCTTCACTAAATTTTTTAAATGTTTCACTTGCCTTTTAAATATCTATAAACCTATCGCTAAGAATTTCTTTTCACTTTGTAATAAAAAAATTTTTCTTTTCAGATATTTTAGACTTCATAACTTACTGAAAGAACATACGTAAATCCTTATCTGAGAGAATATTTAATACTAATCTTTTATTCAACAATAATGTGAATAAAGAATAATAACTGGAAATTTAGAAAGTAAGATTTTAATAAGAAAAGCAAAATTTTGTAGTACTACTTATTTATGAACCACCCTGTCAACGTCTCACAATTTTTTTTTTTTTCAAAATAAGCTACTCACAGGGTAAAGAATCATTTTAGTGTCCCTTCTCCATGTGAACTTGACTTTACAGGTATGATTTTTAATATGAGGCTAAAGAACTCTTTTGCAGACTAACTTAGTGATAGGTTTATTTGAAATTAGATGGTGCGTTTTTCTTTCTTTTTTTTTTACTTATTTGCAAATCTTTCTCTGGACTTTTTTGTTGTATTTAATATTTTTATTCTCTTTAACTCAGCAGTGGAACTTTGCTGTATGTGGATGTATTCTGTCACTGCTACTACTCAAATTTTTTTCTCAGACTGTAACCAAAAGAAGGATTTTTAAAAAAAATTTTCCACAGAAAATATTTATATAAGTAACTTATTATATTGGTAATCAAAGATGCAGGTAAATTTTAATGGTTTATTTTTGCATATGTACAAATGATACGACCTGCAAGCTTCTTTTATCCCACTGAATATTGACCATTAGTTGGTCTCAATTTGATGAACTGAGTGCAGGCATCCATTGATGAAGTAACAGCAAATAACAAAATCTGCAGTTGCTTAATTTTATTACATAAAAAGGCATAATATTTGCACATAGTGTATGCTCAACATTCTGTTTACTTAAAATCATCTCTAGATTATTTGTAATACCTAATACAATGTAAATACTATGTAAATAATTGTCATGTTGTATTGTTTAAAGAATAACAAAGGAAATAGTCTCAACATGCTCAATACAAATGCAGGTTTTTTTCTAAGTCTTTTTGACCTGCAGTTATTGAATCTGCAGATACAGAACCCGTGGATTCAGAGGATTGATGTACAATTTTGATTTTTCAAATGCAGTGTTTATTACCTCCATAATATTACTCATTTTTATTCAGATTTTGTACATACGAATACACACCCATTCAGACCAATTATGCATGTATTGTAATAGATAGAGCTTATAGAATCACTATAAATCACTATAAATCTTGTTTAGGCCTTTTTCCTTTAGATCATCTCCTATTTTATCTTTAGATTACTATGCGTTGGATCCCACAATTTTTGACAATTTCTTCATGTTTTTTCCCATTACCTTAGTCACAAAAAGATGCCTAATTATCACATTGCATATTATTAACAGAAAAATGGAAATAACCTAAATATCTAAAATACAAAATTGTTAAATTGTGGCACATCTATACAGTACAATGTCATACAACTATTTAAATGTATTGAATCATTTGAAAGAATATTAGTAGAAAATTCCTAAATTAAAAGATAAGTTATAAACAAAATATTATGAACAGCACTTTTATATTAAAAAGTATTTCTAGGGCTGGGGTTGTAGCTCAGTGACAGAGTACTTGCCTAGCTTGTATAAGGTCCTGGGTTTGATCCTTAGCACTGCAAAAAAAAGAAGTATACTAATTTATGCATTATGATAGACAGATATTCATCAAAAAGGTAATATTAACTGTCTATGGGAAGTAGAATTATAATTGATTTTAAGTTTCTTCTATTTTAATTCTGTGTTTTCTAATTTTTCCACAGTGACTATGTATTATTATTATTGCATTTTGCAACAGTACTTCAGAATCATGTAGTGGCAATATTTAATGATTTGGGAAAAACTATTCAGAAGTAAAACTTTTTTCATGTATGAATATGCTGTGATGGATATGATACATAGCTTGATAATGAAGCATATGAATAGGATTGACTTTAAAAAAAATACTGTGTTTCAGCCAAACAATATAAACTTAGACTCTGTATGTAATTTTATTACAGTTTATAAAACTCTACTTTGTTTTTTTTTT